ACACATTTCAGATCTACTATTCAGATCAAGGGTAAATATCCAGCTCTTTAAAACATTTATTTATTTATTTATTTATTTATTGAAAAAATTTCTGCCTCCTCCCCGCCTCCCATTTCCCTCCCCCTCCTCCCACTCCTCTCCTTCTCCCCCCACTCCTCTCCACCTCTCTCCACTGCTCTCCCCCTTCCCCTTCTCCATTCCCCCTCCCTCTCCAGTCTGAACCTTGATCAGCCTTGATATAGTAGGGAGGGCCTTGGACTTTCCGCAAAGCAATGTGTATTCCCCTCTCTGTTAAGCACATGGGGGTGGAGTAGGGGAGCATGTGGAGGGAATGGAAGGAGGGCAGTGAGTGGGAACCAGGATTGGTATATATAATGAGTAAAGATAGTTTGCTTTTTTATTGAAAAAATGAAAATAAAATTTAAAAAATAAACCAACATTTAAGTAACTCAGGATTCTGTTGACATGAGACACAATTGCTTCTGGTAGCACCAATCTATTCCTGAGAGAGTGTTGGGCACCAAAGGCACTCCACTTGGAGCTTGTTTTCATTTTATTAAAACTAGACTTTGGGCAAAGAACTGCTCTTGCCTCAACTATTGACAACATGCTCACAGTCCAAACTGGACAAGTGGAATACAAGCAAAAATGACTGACAAATTTTGCCAAAACAAGCTAAGACAATCTTTCTTATTTTCCTGCCTTTAAAATTGGTCTGTCAGATACTCTTGTGGACCTCTTTGAATTACACATCAGGAGTGCTTAAATAATTTAATTTGATATATACGCATTTGGCCATCTCTATTAGCAGTTGTTTATAAACCATTCATGTTCTCTTTCAAACATTATGTAAAGCATTCTCACATATTTACCATCTCATCTTGTACAGCACTAATGCATTGGAGTGCATTTTATTGGCATTTTATTTGTTCCCATTGTAACAGAAAAGTGAAGAAAAATAAAAATAAAACTCCCGTTCTGAAGTAGTTGGAAGCTGTTGATGAGGCAAAATCCAAATTCAAAGTTGTAATTAAGTTGTCAAAAAGTTTGCACTGCTTTCTGGATGTTTACAAAATAATAATTGCACTAATTAAACAATAATTCAGGAAAATTTGTTAGTGACCTTCCCTTTAATTTTTGAAATTTCAGAAAATAATGGATTATCTTTACTGTGATAAATTATGTTCTGTCATATTATCCATTCTGTTCTAAATTATTTTTACATATTCAGTTTTCATCTTCTCATATTTTTCTTATAAATTTTGCACATTTAGAGCATATTTATAATTTCAAATTATTTTTAAATATAATTTGCTTTACTTCTACTGTGCAATCTGAGAATAGTTCTGTTTCATCAATCACCCCATTCACATACCTGAAGATGTGAACAGACATTTACCATAACATCATATTCAGATTACTGATTTGTTTATATTGAATACTGCATCGTACTTGTTCTAATATTTCCAATATATGTGTAAGAATGTTCATTTGTGTTTATTTAACTCTTGCTATCTTAAACAGAATGATAAAATCAAAATATTAAAATCAAACTTAGTAGTTAGCTTCAAAATTCTTTTCATTTTTATATTATCTTTATAAAATTAAATCTTCAATTATGAGTGAGTACATCCCATGTTCATCTTTTTGGGTCTGGGTTACCTCACTCAGGAGAGTGTTTTCTATTTCCATCCATTTGCATGCAAAATTCAAAATGTCATTGTTGTTTACTGCTGAGTAGTACTTTAATATGTCTATATTCCACATTTTCTTCATCCATTCTTCTATTGAAGGGCATCTAGGTTGTTTCCAGGCTCTGGCTATTACAAATAATGCTGTTATGAACATAGTTGAACAAATGCTTTTGTAGTAAAGGACATTGAGCCTATAATTTGTGATCCTAGAGAAGCTAAATAAGAAGGCAAACCCAAAGAAAAACATATAGTTATCCTCCTGGATATTGGAAGTAGACAAGATTGCTGGACAAAATTGGGATCTTGGGGGTGGGGTGGGATGGGCGAAAGGGGAGATGGAGAGAGAAAAGTGAGAAGGGGAGGATGGGGAGAGCTTGGGGGAATGGGATGGTTGGTATAAAGGAAGGGCGGACATGGAAGAAGGGAAGTATATATCTTAAATAAAGGAGCCATTTTAGGGTTGGCAAGAGACTTGAATCTAGAGGGGTTCCCAGGGGTCCAGGGAGATGTCCCCAGCTAGTTCCTTGGGCAGTTGAGGAGAGGGAACCTGAAATGGCCCGATCCTATAGCCATATTGATGAATATCTTGCATATCACCATAGAACCTTCATCTGGTGATGGATGGAGATAGAGACAGAGACCCACATTGGAGCACCAGGCTGAGATCCCAAAGTCCAAATGAGGAGCAGAAGGAGAGAGAACATGAGCAAGGAAGTCAGGACCACGAGGGGTGTACCCACCCACTGAGACAGTGGGGCTGATCTAATGAGAGCTCACCAAGGCCAGCTGGACTGGGACTGAAAAAGCATGGGATAAAAACCAGACTCTCTGAACATGGCAGACAGTGAGGGCTGCTGAGAAGCCAAGGACAATGGCATTGAGTTTTGATCCTACTGCATGAACTGGCTTTGTGGGAGCCTAGCCTGTTTGGATGCTCACCTTCCCAGACCTGGATGGAGGGGGGAGGGAGGACCTTGGACTTCCCACAGGGCAGGAAACCCTGACTGCTCTTATGACTGGAGATGCTGGAATAGGGGAGTGGGGGAAGGAGGAGGCAAATGGGAAGCGGGGAGGAGGCAAAAATAAAATAATTATAAAGAAAAGTAGGCAAGGTAAAAACTTCAAAAAAAAATGAAATGAAATGTTCATTATTAGCATTCTAAAAACTTTTCTTAGTACACATGCTTAAATGGTAAAACAGATTGTAGTTAAATAATATTTCTTTCTTTGATCATAATTCCTTATTAAATTTATTAATAGATCATATACAGATAGATTAAAATTATGTGGAAGGAATAAAACAATCTACATAAAAATAAAATAACAACTCTTGAATAATCACAATAAAAGTTATTGACCTAATACTTTGCATTGAAAAATTTAAAGTTCTTAATCAGTATATTTTCTCCCTAGAGTCAGACTTTTAAAATGGGAAACAACACAAAATAAACAAAACAAAGTAAATAACAAAGAAAGAGTCAGAAAAGAAAGAATCATAGACCGAACAATGAAAAGAGAAGAATAAAAACCAAGCAAACAAAAAAGTAAAGAAAATATATAATTAATTTATGCAGTGGATAAAGGAAGGAAATTCAAACATATAAAATAGTAAACAGTATTGAGGTGTGAGCAGGTCTCACTACATAAATACATAATGGGAAATAATAAGAAATAAGATATTTAACCTTATTAGTAATTAGGACTTTCCACATACACACACACACACTCATAAATACACATTCGATGCCACATCACACAGACAGATCCTTATAACTAAACAATAAAAATCAACACATTTTGGTATAATGTGAAGTGAGAGAAGATGTCATTCGTGACCATTGAAATTTAAAAATTGTGCAGGGCCTGAAGGTGATGGTACATGCCTTTAATCCCAGCACTGTGTTGCAGAGACATGGGCATCATGCCTTTAATCCCAGCACTGTGAGTTTGAGGGCAAGCTGCTCTATAGAGTCATTTCTAGGACAGCAAGGGCAGTTATAACGAGAAACTCCATCTCAAAAAAATCAAATAATAATAGTAATCATTTCATCATCATCATCATCATCATCATCATCATCATCATCATCATCATCATCATCATCATCATCAAGGAACACAGGCAAAGGGTTTTTCCTGTCCTGAAGAATGGTACAAATACAATTACTTTGTTATTCAGAAGTGCCCCAATACAATACATGCTCAAGAATATTGAAAACACATATCCACAACAACAAACATGTACAAAGAAGTTTATAGATACATCACTCAAATTTTTCAGAGGAAAATCAGGAATGTCTACCAAACGGTGAAGGCCAGAAAGATTGGCATATATGTAATACACTTCCCTTTATACAAAAGATCTGAAAAGGGCAAAGCTCTAGAGACAAATAATATAGTCTACAAGTTTGAAGGGATGCACAGCCTTTAGAGAGATGGTGATCATACATTGTATATGCTCATTGGTATAAATTTAGTACAAAATAAAAAGTAATCTTCAACTCAGATGGCAAATGTTTCTTCATATTTGAATTACAGCACAAAGCTATGGAAAACACCATCGTGTTAGATTTTAATCAAAAATTTAATAGAGGTTTAATCTTCAATGTGCCTTTTTAAAATTGTAAAATATCTATAACTATAGATTTCTCCCCTTAATAATTTAATCATCAATTAAAAAGTTTTAACATTTTTATAACAGAAGTACTTTAAAATGTGTTTTTTATTCCACATTTTCTTTTTGATATGTTTAACCAAACCGAAAATAGATAAATACCAATTTTTTATTCCAATAATCCATCAACATGTATTAAATTAGAAACTTTAAAATCTTTTTCCAAATAAATTCAGACACAAATACTTATGTATTTCATCTTTATATTAAACATTAGATACCTGTAGATTAGAATATGATTATATTTATGAATTTCAAAATAATTGAAATATAACATAAACCCTTAGTTGCTTTATTGGAAAATTAGATGTGGAGAAATTCCTGTTTGTATCTTACCTACTTCATATGTTCCCAGTTTAACTGTGGGAATTTGTCTTTATTGTATTTTCTTGAATAGGGTTATGAACCGACTATCATAAAAATAGAATTCATAGAATGAATCCTTGATTAAAGTAACGGAAGCAAAGAAAACCAAGGTAACATCAATGTATGTGCTCCCCATTGTACTATTACTTAGAAACTGCTCTTAGAAAAAACAACATTACGCACTGTGTGCCAGCACATCTGCTCCCAGGGAAAGAACAGACCTGTGCTGTCAGAACAGAAACACTGCTGCCCTGGTGTCCCAGTCTTACCTCTGTCTCGGCAGGCTGATGAGGGGCTGTTTGTGGCACCGCTTGCTAAGGCTAAAGAGCTTGTGGACAATTCTCTGTGCCTTCAGGAAAAGCTGTTTCATGCTGGTCTCCAGTAGTTCATAGCGGCGCTGAAAATTAGAATCCATTGTCCATAAATGCATTATAGTTGATGTGTTGAGGAAATAATTCATGGGTAGTCTTTTCATGAAGAATTTGAATTCATCTGAAATATGAGAAAATTCAGCATTTTAATCATAAATCAATTATTCTTTCCTCCAGCCAAAACAAATTCAACATATGTAAATAAGCTAGAAGCTTAATATTTGTGACTAACAATCTAATAAAACATGACATTTGAGAAGTTTTAAGTTGTTATTTTTTTGATCCTCTTAAGATAGAAGTTTCACGAAAGAATATGAAATTAACTCATGTAGAAATGATGGTTTAGGCAGAAAGTGTTATCCAATCTGTTTTCTATGTTCTTCTTCTGCTTATCTTAAACACAGATTTTATAATATGTGATATATACTTGGCCTTCATATTTAGCATTAATGTAAATAGTTTACTTCATGTATGTAAAGAATTTTTATCAAATATATTCATTAAAACATTTATACATTACTAAGTCTCTGGTGTTTTTTTCTTTTCTTTTTCTTTCAAAACAGGCATTCGCGGTGCAACAGCCCTAGCTCAGGCTGTCCTAGAAAGATCTCTGTAGACAAGCTAGCCTTAAATTCACAGATATTCACCTGTATCTGCCTCCTGAGTTCTGTGATTAATGACCTGTGCTACCACTGCCCAGCTTCTGTGTGTCTACTTAGGAGAGAATTTTAAGTAGACTATTTTACTATTCAGCTCTTCTCTCTCACTGCTCCTATTCACTTCTCATGAAATACCATTTTAAAGCATGTGTACATAAAAAAAAATAAATTAAAATATTTAAACCCCCACCACTGGCTATTATCTTTCTGTCAATAAATATCATATTTGACATTCATTTTATATCAAGTAAATAATTAGCCTTCAAGAAAGTAACAGCTGATGTTATACGATGACCGTGGAGATGGTTCAGCAGATGAGAATACTACGGCAAAATCATGAGAACCTGAGTTTAATTTCACAAATCCTATGTATAAAGCCAGTCACTGTAATGTGATCCCACATAACTCTGTCACTTTGGAGGGCAAAGCAGATACAAAAGGATTGCTGAGGATTGCTGGCTGACAACATCGCTCCAGGTTTAGTAGCAGACACGATTCCCAGGTCAGGTAAGAAGGTGGAGACGAATGAGCAGAACAGCAGATGGTCTCCTCTAGTCTTTGCATGTGTGTATGTATGTGTGTGTACACATTATTACACACATACAGTTTATTTTACAGGAAACCAAATGATATAAAGGGTCAGTTTATTATGTAAACACACAATGACATGGTGTTCTAAAGGTAAAAACAAGCAAACTGTACTTTACTAGACATTTAACATACACCATGGCATATGTATGTCGTTTTCAAACATAATAATAAAGACCATGGGGCTGGAGAGATGGCTCAGTGGTTAAGAGCATTGCCTGCTCTTCCAAAGGTCCTGAGTTCAATTCCCAGCAACCACATGGTGGCTCACAACCATCTGTAAAGAGGTCTGGCGCCCTCTTCTGGCCTTCAGGCATACAGACAGAATATTGTATACATAATAAATAAATAGTGTTTAAAAAAATAATTAAGACCATATTATATTGCTAAATAGATTAACATATATAATTACTGTCTTTCTGTTACAAATGTGAATTACAACTCTATAGAAGAAAAGAAAATGTTCAATGTGTCATGTTTGGAATATGACAAATTACATTTGGAATGTAATTAACAATGTTAAAATACAGACCTCAATTTATAAATATGATATTTGCTACATGTATGTTTATACACACACATACAAACAGTGAAAAGGATATTTTAGCATTTTATTCTTTCCTTTTCTTTTCAAATATTTATCATGAGCAGTTTCTCTAAACAAATGTTTAATCACATAATTTATTGTTATAAAGATCTTTATTTTTAATGTCATTTCTCAGCATTCTTAGTTAGTAAATTAGTAGGTTTGCTCCAACATGTACACTCACATCAAATTTCTGAAAAAATACCTGAAATAAATCTGCAACTTAGAAGAAAAAAACACTTTAGTCGCTATTATGCAAATCCAAGAATTTAGAAAAATTTAAACACAGTTTATTTATTATTCTATCACTAAATTACTAAGTCATAAGTGTGAGAACTTAATCTTGTGGGCTCTACTTTGCTTTTAATTAAACTATATGGACAACAAAACATTTTGAAGATGACAATTGATTTTAATATTCTGAGAACAAACACTTTTTGTGTTTTTAGATATATGGTTAGGCTATCCAGTTTAAATATAGTTTGCAAATATCCAAAACAACTTGCAGAAAAAAAAGGGTTGTTTTGTCAAAAAACAAAAACCTATCACAAAAAAAAAAAAAATTACTCTATCACTACCAGAAGTCAGTGGAGAACTGAAATGCTGGGCCTTGGAAGCTGAAAATGAAACAGAAACCATGAAGGTATGCCACTACCTGGCTTGCTTTTTCACAATCTCTTCATCTTGCTTTATTATAAACTAGACCATTGGACCTGGGCTGGCATCACCCTCCTGTAGAATCAGTCCTTGGTCATAAAAATGCAATGCTATATATAGAGTTGCCTAAATTCAATCTGGTGAAAACATTCTCAATGTTTCCTCAGCCCAGATCATTACAGCAATTAGCAAGATGGTACAATATACCTAGGATGCATGTGGATAGCACTTTATTGTATATTATTTATTTATCATCAGTACAATATTAAAATTGCTGGGTGATGTTTTCCTAAAATTATCTGTAGATTTCTGACAAATTTTCTGAAAATGTCAAGTTGAAATTTACAATTGCAGAAGCTTCCTTGAACATATGCATCAAACACACACACTCACACTCACAAAAAAAAAAAAATTTAAGTGGCCGGGGGGTGGTGACGCACGCCTTTAATCCCAGCACTCAGGAGGCAGAGGCAGGCAGATCTCTGTGAGTTCGAGGCCAGCCTGGTCTACAAGAGCTAGTTCCAGGACAGGAACCAAAAGCTACGGAGAAACCCTGTCTCGAAAAATCAAAAAAAAAAAAAAATTTAAGTGGATATACCCTATAACAGGGGGACCATATTCTAATTAGACACCAAAATAAACCAACCAAATAAACAACAACAACAACATACACATAAAATCATATCAGGAATGGGTTACTGCCAGTGTCCAGCCTCAGCTTGGTTTCAGATCCTGAGGTGGGTACTAGGAAAACTTCTAACCACCGAGTAGATTGCATTCAAGTAGCCCCAAAGAGCTCAGGCTATCTTTGTTTATACTTTTAAAAGTTTTTTTTTTTTCTTACCAGGATTACATGAACAGCTTTATTATTATTTTTTTTATTTTTGACTCTAAGAAATATATCACAATTTAAGTAACACACCGTGATCATTATGAAAGACCCACCCCTTTGTTCTCCTTTATGCTTCCCCAAATACACATTCCCAGAGCTGCATAACCTTATTCTAGACATGGTGTTCAGCATTTTACAAGGCTTAATTAAATATCAAGGCAGATGCATCATGTTCTTGCAGTACTTACGTCAGCTGGCAACTACTTGTGGTTACAAGGTTAAAAATAATAGACATGGCCATAATGATTTAAGGACAATGTGCAAACCCAGACAATTATATCATGTCAGCGAGATATATTTTTATACAGTTCCCTGTTCTACAAAAGGGTCCCGTATCTCAATCACCCTGTAAAAGGCAGACTTTGATAAGGCACTCTTTTCCTATCCCACTATATCATACTTCTTCCACCAATATAACCTCCTGTGTATGGTAAAGATGAATCTAACCATTGTACATGTTGCATTGCATTATTTCCATCAGAATATACTAGATCTTAATATTGATTCTACATGATTGGGTTCTAGGCACTTACAAGCATGGGTTGGTGCGATGAGTATTCCTGAGGCCTTTTTCCTATTCTGTATATGTTTGCCTTACTCTCCTTTACAAAACTGAGAGACATATTCAATGTTACAAGTGTTGTTATCCCATCTGTACCTAACCATCTCTATTGAGACAGAAAAGCTCCCTGAATTAGTTGTAATTAGTAATTCCAGATAAGAGATTTGAGAAACATTAGCCCCCTGTTGAATTGTAGGGGGAAATATTTGCAAAGAAGCAGAATTTCCAGGAAAAATTTCAGCTGTTGCATGTGTGACTGACAAAATAAAACTAAAAATCAACCCAAGGACTGACCATTATATTGAGAGAATAAAGAATCTGTATCCTGCACAAATTTTGCAGATTCCTACACTGTATCGTGGTCCCTGCCAAGTGATGGTCTGTTTCCCCAGGTGCCTTACTAGGCAGAAACTATTTAGACACATAGTTATATATGATCCTCTTGGCTACAAGGCTCCAGACAGGTTACCTTTATCTGATCACTGGAAAATTAGGTCCACAGACCTCCAAATATCATAGAATATTGCCATTGCTCTTGGTTACCCTCAGAATTTAAGCATAAGACCTTGTGTATAAAGACATCTTTTCCCCATGCCTAAAATATGGTAAACAAATATGAATAGTGACCTGGAGGCTTCATATCCATGGACTAGCTTTCATTCTTCTGGAAGGTATTATAGATATTAGATGAAAAAAGTAATCTTAAATTTAAGCCTTTTCTTTTGTTTTTAATTGGAAATAGACCTTTTGTACAATATATTCTTATTACAGATTTTCCTTTCTAAACTCCTCTCTTCACCCTACTTACGAAAATTTGATCTTTTTGTGAATCCTATGAGTAAAAATGACAAAGTTCTAGGCAACATAGGCCTACTAGTGACATCAAAGCAAGGATATCATGGAAGCAATCAATCATCTTCTGATTATATTTAAGGCCCAATATAAGAGGAAGCATTGTTATCTGGTACTAAGAACTGGCCAAGAATGGTGACTAGATGGCTATAGACCCTCCAGGAGAACTTCCTCATATTGTCCTGATAAAGATCGGCTATCTAAATGATTTTAATGACTCTGTGGTATATATCTATGGATCTCAACTATCACAAGAGAAGCTACTTGCAGGGGATGACAACTAGCGTAGTGACTCACATTTAGACAACAAGGAGAGAATGCGTGA